TTGTTTATATATATATATATATATATATCTATTTAAAGCATTAGTAATTTTGATCTAATCTTGGTACATATTTCTCTGTTTTATCATCTTTGATATCTGTTGCAAGTTTTTCCGTCTAATTATCATATTTGGGATCTATTGCAGGTCTACTCAATTCGTGATGCTGCTGCTAACAATTTGAAACGTCTTGCAGAAGAGTTTGGCCCAGAATGGGCAATGCAGCATATTATTCCACAGGTTTGTTTATTTTCTGGTGCCCTACCACATTTTTGACTTTGCAGCTTTCTGTTCTTCTAGTTTTAAGTTGTGTATCTTATCTTTATACTTCTGACCAAAAAAAAAACTTTATACTCTACTCTTTAAAAGAACTGGGAATTTACATCATTTGGGCAGGTTCTGGAGATGATTGACAATCCACACTATTTGTATCGAATGACAATTCTACGTGCAGTCTGCCTCCTTGCCCCGGTTATGGGTTCAGAAATCACATGTTCAAAACTGCTGCCAGTGGTTGTCAATGTGTCAAAGGACAGGTATATATACTCTATGATCTGTGCGTACCAAATATTAGAGATATGATTTAGCAGAGTTATTCTGTTTTGCTGGCCTGAATTCTTATGTTTCCCCTTCAGGGTTCCCAACATCAAATTTAATGTAGCAAAGGTGCTGCAGTCCCTTATCCCCATAGTTGATCAGTCTGTAAGTATCTACACCTGAATCTTGACAATTTCATTTCTGAATGTTTTATGTAATTTGTTATTCCAATGTTCAATTTATGTTTCTTCTGACTGGGGCATGAAAATTGCTGTGATCCAGGTGGTGGAGAAGACAATTCGGCCCTCTTTGGTTGAGCTGAGTGAGGACCCAGATGTTGACGTCCGATTTTTTGCTAACCAGGCACTTCAGGCAATTGATCATGTCATGATGTCAAGCTAGCCAGGATTCTTTACACTCTAGAAGATGTTGATTGCATATGTTTAAAACGAAGGCATCATTTCTACGTATCATCAGAGTAGTTTATATGTTCTTGCTGGAGCGTCTGAGTAAGTGTGCTAGTATTTTGTGCCTAACATGCGGGACCGTTTTGAGTTGCCTAAGTTTATGCAATATTTAGTTCCCGTCGTATATGGGGAAAATGTGTAATATTAGCTTCCAGATTTTCTTTGTACTCTTCTGCAAATTGTTTCTTGTCTTCATCGGTAGGAAGATAAATATTGTCTTAGAATTGAATTGAAGAACCGTATTATTTTGTTGGTGAATATATTCCTTTTTTTTTTTTCTTCGTAATATTTAATTTGTTGGTGCTTTCAAAACGAGATTGGGTACTTTCAAATCTCCGTTCATCTCCGTTAAAGAGAAAAACTAACCTATTCTTTGTTTCATGTACCTTTTTATCTATCATGTTACGGGAGACAGAAAGTTAGGTGTATTAAACATGTTGCGTAGAAGTTTTACTCGCTGGTTAGATTGGTACTTGAAGCTTTTCTCAGTATCGTGATTGATAGAAAATAATTTTAATTAGTGAATTATAATTGGATTCGCTTTAAGTTGATTGTCAACTCACAGACCACGAATTTGCAATGATAGGAGCGAACCAAGGACAATACCTGTTATATTTCATGTTCATTTAATGAGGGATGCTTTTTTGGGGTGGTGCCAGTCTGAGCTGCCAACCCACGTGGAAAGGATCCTAGTTTGGTGGCCATTTCCTAGAGAGAGAGAGAGAGAGAGAGAGAGAGAGAGAGAAAAAAAAAAAAAAAAAAACAAAAGAGAGGCCAAACGGTGGCACTTGTCTTGTGTTTAATTCCTCCACGGCTCTCCATGATGCAGACGTAAATGGAATATTATGTATTCTCACCAATAGAGTACAAAACAAAATTATAGTGTTGCTAGCATTCCCCCGTATCCCAGTTGCCATCAACCTTTTCTCCTCTCTCTCCAACGACAACCCACCACCTTGTCAACGTCCACGCCCCAGCCACTTTCCCCACCCACACCTCAAGACCCCGATTCCGTAAGCCAAGACCCACCACCGCACCCCGATTCTCTCTCTCTCTCTCTCTCTCTCTCTCTCTCTCTCTCAAAGAACAACCCATACCCACAACCAACTCCCAGCAACATCTCCCAAGATCTTCCACCCGACTACACTACCCCATGCCGTTTTGCTTTACAAGTTTTTATTTTTTCAAATGTTATGTTTTAATATTTTTAAGTTAATTTCAAAAAAGTTCATAGGTTTTTGAAAAACCAAGATAGACACACACGATATGATAATGTAATGAATTGATCAGAGACAGCCGTAAAAGTTAAATATGGGGGTTGAAGCATTTGCAGCCTATACGACCGATGGTTCGCACCTGCTGGCCCCCCAACCACCAAATGAAAGCTTCGTTTTACTGCATATAACTAATTGGCTGGCTGCTGGGTTGGGTTGGGTGCACATGCAAATGCGCATATGATTGAAGTCTTATATATACAGCCATAAAACAATACTATATATTACATTTAAGCTTAGCATTCAAGTCCAGCTCTCCATGCATGATCTTCACGATATGGAAGTAGCAGAAGAAAAAGTAGGAGAACGAAAGAGAAATAAGCCATTGCCATCCAAAACTCAGGTATTTCATAGACATATGATGTGTTATGTGTACTCTATAATTAATTAATAATATAGTATTGTCTCTGCGCTGGCTACATGATTAACTACCTTTTTCTAGCATTGAACCTAAAGAACATACATTATTTGTTTGTGCAGAAAAGGATTGGGCAGTAATTTCATGTGGAACACTCATTTGAGCAAGAATGTATCACTACTTTTAATGGACGGAGGGCACCATCTGCAGCCCCATGAAGAAACCTCAACCACGAACCTTCACGAGGGGCCATTGTGGGAGAGGGCATGTATGGCCTTCGTCAATCACTTACACTTTCATGCTTAAGAGGACATCATTATATAATTTGTTTTCATCAGAATGTACAGGTTTTGGCGACGAAGTATGTATAATGTATGTATGATCCCCAGCTAGCTATAGGCATGAGCGCATACCAATTGATACTTCAATTAAAATAGGTCATTTTACTTATGCACATTTCAGATTGTATGAGAAGTATTTCCTTTTCTTTTCTGGTTGTAACCAAAACATTACAAGGGATCGATATTTTCCTAATTTACGCATTACCATTACCATTTGAGAATCATCATGAATTAATTTTTCAGTACTCCATGTATGAGCATTAACATTATGAAAAGGACAAGACAAGTCCCCACCATAAGAACAAGAACGTATATGATGATAGAGACGATAAGAAGCCCTCCTAGTACGGACTGATTTAGATGACAGCCAGCTAGTAATGACCTGGTTTCTTCGTCTTTTCCCAACGTTTTACACAATTCATTCTGATAAGAAGAAGAAAAAAAGTAAAAAGCTTTTACACAAATAGGAGAGAGATAGGAGAGAGAGAGTTATATACATATATGTATATATATCTACTAATTATAATTAACAAAGGCCTTAATATGAGTTATCATTTCATGGGATCGAGTTTTCGAGAGCTGAGACTTATCTAGAACCTGAAATGCATGCCCAACACCTTTGTACACCACACACTCCACCTTCATCTTACCAGCTCTGTTGCTGTTATGATCCAATGCACAACAAAACTCTATGTTTCTATCTTTCAATATATCCATCTCTGAAATGCAAACCATGGTAGCCCAAACAGCCCTTAGAGAGCTAGCACTCTTCAAAGGGTTGCACCATGGATGGTCGCGATTAGCGCCACATGGCAGTGCCAATCGCCAGTAAGTATCAGAGGCTGCCAAGCTCAACGCAGACCTAGGTTGCTTCTCCATATAGTACTTCTCGGAACTTGTTCTTTCCTCTCCCCCGAAAAATGGTTGCAGCAAAATTGTACCCTTAATAGTTAAAGGCTTAATTAAGCTTGAAATAATAATTTGTTCATCACATGGACCGTCAGAAATAATATTGCAAAGTCTTGTGGCCACATTATGGGCTATATTGGCACCCGCACTGTCCCCCACTAGGAAAATTCTAGTAAAGTCACACTGCCTTGACCACCATTTATTATTAGCTCCACGTTGACTTAGAGCTTGTTGCTTTAGCCACAAAAGGGCCTTCAACCCATCTTCATATGCTGCTGGGAGTGGGTGCTCAGGGACCAGTCGATAATTCACAGACATGATTAAGCAACCGGCTTTGGCTGCTAGCTTTGCTAAGAATTCATGGTAACAACTCCAAGCGGCTGAGCCAACACAAAACCCACCTCCATGGAAATAGACTAGCAAAGGGAGCTTGTTGTCATTTCCATGGCATTTGGGAACATAGAAACGTGACCAAATGTTTGTGAACTTGTCAATGACCACGTCCCTGGATGTCACGCCTAGCTCGGGAGCCACTGCGGTTGCGACACATGGAACAATATGGAGTCTCTCCACATGTCCATCTTTGTACACTTTAATAAGCCCTTCAATTTCCTCAATCACATTCCCATGTTGTTGGTCATGCCCATGAGGGTTGGTTTTTGGGTTGAAACTTGGATCTAAGGTGATAGCAGCCATTGATCGCTTTGCTCTCATATGAAGAATGTGAATGAAAACTTTGGAGAGATAGCACAAAACTTTGAATAGAGTTTTGGGCAATTAAGGAAACGTTTGCGGCTCTGCGTTCCTTAAATAGATGATGAAAACGCGAAAATGATAAGGTAAGGAAACCTAAAGTTGGGGTAGCTAAAGAGAGGAAGAGAGATGAACCCATCTTATCCTGCCAAGTGGGCAATTGGGTCACTGCCACATGTCTTCACGTGGATCTAGTGTAGTATAGGGGCCATGGGAGCGCCTTTTGGTAACCCAGTTGATTAACTAAATTGTCAGATTAATCAAGTATTAATTTTCTTCAGTCGGTAAGTCATAAGTGTACATTGTAATGTTACCTACCCATTAATCAGATGCATATTAAAATTAATTAGTTGGGTTTAATTCAAATCAATGAGAATAATTTTCACATAGACATCATATGGTTGACCTTTGACTATAATCACACCATTATGTTTTCTTATACAGCTGGGCTTGGAAACAGCTTTTCCTTTTAGAATATGTGCATGACATTGTTAGACATTTTAAAGCGACAATGCTACAGCATTAGGGAGTTGAGTGGAATCAAAGCACTAGCTAGCTAGAGGGACCTCACTTTTCGTTGCTTCCCAATACCATCTTTTCAACGGCACTGTTTTTAGGGACATTATGCTTCCACCAAGGCAAAAGTAGAACCAGAGCATTATTAATCTTGAAAATTAACTCCTCCCATTTCCATATATGTTAGAATCCCCGTCCCCTTGTGTTTCAGCACGTCCATGGAACATGCACCTGTGTAAGTCATCAGTGGATCTTTCCATGGTCAAAGGTTTTTGGCTTATCAAATGTCACATAAATTTTTATCATGAGACCCACTTTGAAAAGGATCTTAATGGGAAATTTCTGAAGAATATGGTACATGTATGTTGTCAGTTTTTACAAACAAACATGGAGCATCAGTTGGGGATAAGAGAATAATTGCACTAGCCGGCTGATTGTTCTTGATCGTGCAATTGTACCTTCCTACTACCTAATACGTCACACCAAAATTTGTACAATATTCATTATCAAAACAAGAATTAGTAATGTTGAGTTGAGAATACACCGTTTGAAAGTAATGTTACGGACACCAATTCTTTTAATAATTTGTTGTTTACCAAACCGATAATGACATAGGAATTCATGTCATGTTACAAATTCTATATTTCAATGCGAACATCTTTGAGAAAATTATTGGCAAAATTAAACACAAATAAATTACTGTTACAAATTACATTAACAGTATAACAATTGGCTTTGAATCACAATTTGCTGTGTGTGGGTCTAGTTAGCGCGTCATGCCAGACTGAAGCTGTGGAGGCAATGGCGATGGCGATGCCATTGTTGCAGCCAGTCGTTTCTCCCTTTCGACGTTGCCATGCCAACCTATGGACATGTCAAAGCCCTGGTTCTGAAGCTGCCTATACTCTTGGCACAAAGCACATTCCTCGCAGCAAAAATGGACGCAACAATCTGTGCAGGGCCTCTCCTCCAACAAATATTGCCCTCTCAGTTTGGATCGATAGAAGCACGAATACAAGCACGAGCAACCCACCAAACACAGCATCAAACTGTAAATAGTCCCGCTTACTCCACAAGCTGCATGCATATCCACATTTAAATTGGATCATATGCATGCAAATTGCGACAAACACATATACTTATTTATATTTCATGGTATGGTAGAGATATAATTAATAAAGGAAAATAAAAACATACAAGTTGATCCCCTGTCCACAATTTCTGCAACGCGTCCAAATGTCACACATGGACACCAACACGTCAAGCAACCTATACACAGAAAAAATTGATAAACTATTATTATTGACAAACATTCGTTAAAGTTTTACTTTGGCAGTAAAAGATAAATTGATAAAAATGCGACATGGCACTTACAACTGCTAACATCTTCACAACAGTTGCAGAGCCCAGTGGACCAAGGCACTGGGGAATGAGGAGTATTATTGCTGATAATGATCGGATCAACCGGAATGCCGGTGGCTGTGAGAGGCGGCGCTGACGGGGCCTGTCTGGCCAGAGTGACAGACTCTTTCTGTAACTCAGCCATGCCCATATGCTTTTAAAGATTAATGATCTCCACATACATATATAAATATGCGTGTGAATCAAAGAGATATATAGTTTCATAATTAACCAACGTGCCTCTTCGTAATAAACAGTTAATTGGATGAAGGGATATGTAAGTTTTCAAAATCCCTGATTAATTTCCTTTTAAGCACTATTAGATTTCGGTAGTTTGTGATTTTTCTTAATTAATTACGTGTGTTAATGATTAATTAACAACCTCCAAACAGAATTAAGCCTTCTGCACTATTTAACTTCAAGAACCGTTTTGCCCAGAAAAACATCTCAACTTGGAACAAGTCATCTAAAACATTTTTTTTAAGCGCGACATTTTCCTGGTACCATCCTTCCTCGTTGACCAAATTAATCTATGTTTAATTTCCGTTAACGTCTTTTACTACACTACAGAATTTTGGATTGGATCTACTACGTGGCGAGGTGAGATGAGTTGAGACTTCTGACCTTTGATATGATATAATATCTCTAGCTTTCGCACTAGTTTCATATATTTTTCGTGTTAGAATTATTCACCTTTCATTTTGATAATTTATTTCGAATGAAGCATAATAATTTCCAAGAAATGAATCCCCTTGTAATACGGTGTAGTACGTAGGGCTCTTCTAGTGATAATCTGAACCCCATTTTTTCTTTTAAATCTGTGGTGCCATAGCATATAGATAGGTCATCGGCCATTCAAGAATTTGTTTTTCTGTCGGTAACAATGACTTCATATAACTCCAATTCCAAATTGGCTCAACCTGAAAAGCAACTTCCTCAAGGGCAATGGTCCACTGGCCTTTTCGATTGTTTGGACGATCGTTCTAACTGTACAAATTTTTCTTTCTCTTTTTCTTTTTCTTTTCGTTTTGCTTCTTCGTGACTGACGTTTCTTCTTCATATTTCATTTTTTTGAAGGTCTTCTCACTTGCTTCTGTCCATGCATCACCCTCGGGCGGATTGCGGAGATTGTTGACAGGGGAACTACATGTAATTAATTATCAAAAAAACCCTACTCAATATGTTAATTGTTCATTAAAATGTTTGAGTAAAAATAGTGACTAATTAAGTAATATATATACTTGGCATGCAGCTCGTGGGATGGCTAGCCTCAACTCCTACGCAATGGGGTCTATTGGCTGTGGGTGGCTATATTCTGGAAAATATCGAGCCAAGTTGAGAGCAATGTTTTCACTACCAGAAGAACCATGCGGTGATTTTGTGCTCCATGGCTGCTGCTGTGTCTTTTCTATTTGTCAGGAGTACAGAGAACTCAAAAATCATGGAATCGATCCCTCCATAGGTAACTCACAACCCAACCTAAATTTAGAAATTGATATATGGGCTCAGAACAACCCTATCTTTTTCAAATTGATATTTGGGCTTGGACCCTCCTCACTTGTTGGGCGTACGAAAACTAATCCCATGCCCAAATAAACACTGGGAGCAGCTGATTACGATTAGGTTCAAATTCGTGCCCCATCAATCATGGTGGTGTGCTTTGCAAATAGGAAAACACAATTATTCTTATTATTATTTTTCTGGGTGTCAAATTTTCCACATATAAAAGTGATCATGAATCTTATTGCGGTGCATGGTTGTTTTCAAGGGTGGCAAGCTAACGTTGAGAAGTGGAACCGGGAAGGGATCAAGCCCCCGATTGTCGAATCGGGCATGGATCGTTAATTTACTACCGTCTTATGTTAAAAATTTATTATGAGTTTGGTTTAGGGTTTGCTTATCAGATTGATCATTTGCGAGTATGTATTTATGTTCATTCTCATTATGTGACCGCCAAAAACTTTCGTACATGTATTATTATGTATGTATTGAATTTATGTGCTTGGCTGCTCTTTTTTGTTACTTTATGCGTCTTAAGCTACCCATTTATGTCCTTTTGTGCTACATATCAGCAAAGCAGGGCCCTTGTTTACGTGTGCAAATTCTCTGAATCACCTTTCATGGAAAACTTTCTAATTTTGACGTTAGCAAAATTAATTATCCCAAGTCATTATCGTCGACTTGCATGAACAAGGCAGAGGAATTTAACAAGCATACAGAATAGACATGTGCCGACGTACGGACAGAGACAGATTCTTGGACTTGGATTCATTTGGAGACATGACAGATATGCTGATTATCTCCATCATTATTGACCGCAAACAAAGTATTTTCTGTTGTCCAAATTCTTCTATGTATAAAATCTAAAAGTTACTCTTTTTCTGCAACCCAACCCAAGACACCATTCATTTCCTTCACAAATATCCCTACTTTCAAGTTTTGTCACAGAATCTGGTTTCTGTCTTGAAATTCAAAATGGAGGTGATGAGCCCAAAATCCAGTCTTGAATTTGATGATGGTGGTGCTTATGTTGATGATGACGTATTTTTTGCCGATATCACACGGCAGATTTTGATCTTGACCGCAGACGATGAAGATTTTCCTAAGCCCAAAACTACAAGCTCATTTAGTACTAATGTCACCAAACGTAGCTTTGATATCCCAGCTCCTGATTCATCATCACTTGGGTATATCAGTTGGTTGGGAAATAAGAACACTGATTGCTCAGTTCCAGCTTCGCTTTCAAAACAGTGGGAAAACAGCAATGGGACTGGAGTTTTTATCCCACAGGCTGTAAATCCAAGAAGCAATTACAAGCCAAGTACTTGTTCTCATCCTTTCTTATGATTTTTCTTTTTCTATAAATTTTTAAATGAAGAAAATTGGGTTTTATTTAATCAATTGATTCAGTTCAATGACTAATGTTTTTTTGGTCCCTAGCAGGAAGGATGAATAACAACACAAGAATTTACAAGCGGGTGCAGAGCAAGCAGTGATGAAAACAAGTTTTGACCTTTTCATGGATCCAAAAACCTCAGATAGATGCTGTCTCACCCACAACGTTTCTACTAACAATTCAAAAATAAACGGAACACAAACATCATGTTGTAAAGAAAAATGTAGGGTGACAATCAAATTTCATTGTATTATTTCACCTTCATGTTAAGTACGAATTAATTGTAACTTATTCTTTTCTTTCACTTAGTCTATCTATTAATCATGTCGTCTGAGCTAAACTTGAGTGATAATGATGCAATTTTTCAAATAAGGTCTCATTTGGTTCATGAAAAAGGAGGCTTGAGGATGGAGAAGCAATTACTTTTCCATGTTTGGTAAGTCCGAGCATGGAAAATCGTTGCTTGCACATAGAAAAGTAGGAAAGAAAATGAAGCCCTCCTATCATCTTAGGTTTTGTTTTCCTCCTTGTGGGAAAATTGGGAAAATGTGCTAATATTAAATACACATTTTTCATGATCATATTGTCCCTATTAACAATTTAGAATTACAATAGAGTATAAAATACTTTTTTTTTTATTTGATTTCATATGAGTATAATTGAAAAATTAAACTAACTTTGTTTTACATTCTTACACAAACCAAACATTGAAATGAAATAAAGTGGTATTTCTTGATTACTTTCACTGTATTACTAAACATGAAAAAGGAATCTCCATTTCCCATCTTTTGAAAAATGACATGAGAAGTGATTTTCCCTCAAATCCGTGCTGTGAACCAAACGGGGCCTAAGATTTATCTAAGAATTTGGTATCCACCAATGCTTTCAGTCCCCTGGCTATCTGATAGGATTAGTATTAGCACATTTAGTGTGAAAATAAGTACACATTTCCATGCCCAAGAGCAAGAGGGCATATATTTAACTTAATTACATGTTTGAGAACGGCCACTAGGCTTTCATTAAGTGGATCACTGACGTTTCTATAGGCCAAGATGCAGGGCCTAACCTGTGACTGATAAAAGAAAAGCATCATAAGAAAAATGGGGCCTCAAAGCTGAATCTGCATTTTCATAATTAACCATCTTCGTGGTCTCAGCACTACAGCTGGTTTACTAATAGTGGGGCAATAGCAAATTCTTTTTTCTTCTTCTACTTTAGGCCGGGTCGAGGTGAAAGCGAAAAAACATTAATCCCTAGGACGTGCCAACCATAATGAACTGAGTGCTCGGAGACGAGAGAAGTAGTCACTGATGACGAGGAGGGCACGAGCTGCTTGACGAGTGGTCAGAATACGATGCATTTGTTGTAGTGTTTGCTGTCTCAAAAGGTCAGCCTAACAAGTGAGAAAGTATGCACATTATTTATACATATCCAACATATATGCACAACGATACTACAAACAAATCACAAGAAGATAATTCGCAAATCCACACTTGTTACCTGGTGAAGGAAGTTCTCAAGTGTGGCAAGCTTGCCCATAGCAATTGCCATTTGGCCCATGTAGTCTGCAACATTGCCAGAACCAGTAGGTCCATGAGTACCTGAGGAAAGTGTGTCTACAAGAGATTGTTGCAAAGCTTCCATCCCTTGTGACAAGGCATCTTCAGCCTGTTGGGAGGATTGCTGCAGATTACATATGCCCATCAACTGTTGATCTGTCAAAGGTTCAAGCTGGTTCCCAAGTATCTGAATATCCAACAGTAAATTTTAAAAAAATAAAATAAAATAGACCAACTTGAATATCTATACTCGTGTCAGGCCAACAGGGCAAAGGGTAAGCAATTTGGGAAAAATCAAATAGAAGATCACCTTGAGAAGTTCAGACGAACGGAATCCACCCAACCACATAAAGCACCTCTCTGCAGGTGTTTTCCACATGCCAGAAAGCATGTGAAATACATCAGTCTTTGCAGCAGTGCTCTTTAACCTGAATATTTCATCATAATGGGTCATTACGCTATCAACAAGGATCCGCAATTCGTTATCACCCGTATGGGAATTCACAGCTGATCGCATATCATGTATCAGTCGTTGATGTTCGTCAAGCCAGCGCGCATACTCCAAGTCAAATGCTAAGGCCCCTGAAAAGTACAACCCGTTATAAGTTCACTGTCCGCTGTGTAAGTTATGATGTTGATCTCTAGGCTTAACATCATATATTTACTTGTCTGCCTTTGTACATTCTTTCTAGTTTCTACCAAACAGTTAAAAAGGACAATTGAATAATTGGCTAATATAGTATTACAAATTACAATTTTCTTGGATTTAGTTGTTGCCCTATGGATGAGAATCCTTACAAGGAATGAAGTTTTCCAAACAAAAAAGTAGAATTCATGTGGTCAAAGCAATTTACCATTTCCTGACATTGAATGACCATTATCCCCAGAAAGTCCAGTTGCAATAAACATACCCTGCATTGAAATAGTAAACATATAATGAAAGAAGAAATAAAGATATATATTTTATGGATAGAAACTTCAAAGTCCCTTCACCTGCTGCCGTGCTCGCTGAAGCTCTTGCTCTAGTTGTGAAAGCCTAAGTCGACTATTTTCCAGCTGCTGGACATATGCCTATCCAAAACCAAAACCTATAAATGATCCAAATATGTTGTATTCATTAACTTAAAAAACAATGCAACTTTTCATTCAACAGACAAGGATTCAGGGGGACATCAATGAACTAGAAGGGTACCAAAGAGGTAAGCTAATTAATAAGGGAGCAGAACCAAAAGGGCAAAAAAGGTAATCCAACCAAAAGAGCACAGTGAATGAGAAGCATTTATAAGGCAAACCTAAATCATAGAGCTGACAGTGAATCTTCAGGGTAGTCTACACCAAGATTTTTATGTCTCAACATTTGCTAACATTATTATGTATAGAGCTAAAAGACCCAGAGCCCAGGTCCCAGGCCTAGGCAGATGAAACTTTAAAGAAAAAGATTTCCAAAAATGTGAAAACTGCAAAGTACATGAGAAAAGATGCATACTTTCTTCCTTAGACGACTCTTCCTTGCTGCTTCTCGATTCTGGGCCAGCCTACGCAGTGTCTGGAAATTAATTAGCCCAATAAGATCAGCATTCAAAAAAGAAAAATTACCATCCAATCCAAGCACATGACTTTGAACAACAGTATAGATATATCTAACCTTTTGATCTCCACTTCTTTCCCTGGGCTGTTCCATTGAATCCACTACTGTTAGTGCTCCATGCGGAACTCCATGAAGCTAAAAAAGAAAAAAGAATTCAAATTTCACATTAAACCAACTCACTTTGACTCAATTCAAGAATCATCCCTAGCTTGGGTAGCTAAAATTTCGAGTAACATATTCGGTTTCAAAGTAAATCAATTTAGAGATAGGCCCACCATTGATCCGGACAGAACATGTACTAATTGAAAGCCTTCTGGAAGCTAAAAACAGCATGGATGGCAATCAAAAAATTCCAACTTTCAAAAGATTCTAAATTCCAAGCTGACACCCACCCACCCATTAAAGCCTATGGATAGATTCCTATTAAACAGTGCATAGTAACACGGCATATGTTCATGAAACACAGAGAGAGAGAGAGAGAGAGGGATGAAGGTACTTGGGTTTTATCATCGGTGTCAACGTCTGTGGAGGTATCATCAGTCTGCTGGCTGTTGTCAGCCATGGCTGAATCACCCCAATTCTCAAAGTGTCCGTTTCCCGACGACGTCGTCCCTTTCTGCTGGTGGTACATGTATTGGTGATGCCCTGTCTCTACACAGCCTCCTCCTGTCCCGGTTATTGTTGAGCCTATGTCCAAACACCCAGTGCTCTGCACAAACAAACCATCCCATAAGCCCAACAAGAAGACACTGAAGCTAAGCTACCTATATCATAGTGCAAGAGAAGAAAAAGAAAGGGACTTGGGTAGGGTTGAGTACCGTGTTCAAGGCCCCATAGTGCAAGTTATTAGGTACAACAGCAACATTGTTTGCTTTCAAACTGAACATTGAGCCTACAACACATTAAAACCACACATATAAATAACAGAATACATATAATACTAGAGAGAGAGAGAGAGAGAGAGAGAGAGAGAGAGAGAGAGAATACTTGGGATTAAATCAACAGCATCATCGTGAGGGAAGACAGTAGCGGACTGTTCAAGCTCTCCAAGATCCGTAAAACGCGTTTGGTTTCGGTTAGTGTCGTCTCCTCTGTTTTTGCACAGCACAGATTCACAGAAACAGAGGCGCTGGGTTATTATTTAGAGATAAACATAAATGTTAAAGACCTTTTTTTCTGTGCTAACCCATTTCTTATAAACTCCATTAACACCCAAAAAAACCATAACTTAAACAGAGACCCAGAAACCAAAAACATAACCAATTAAAACAGAGAGAAAGAGAGAGAAAACAATAATTAGACCTGAAATAGAAGGAAGAGTGGGAATACAATTCTGGGTTTGTTGAAGCTGCTTTGAAGCTCTGCATTTTTTTAAGTGACTTGGTGTTCCTTCCTACCTATTTCTCCTTTAAAGCAAAGGAAAGATAAACATGATCCTCATAGGGACTTTTTTAAGTTCTCGAGTAGAAGAGGAGGAAAGAGGAGAGAGAGGAAAGAGGAAAGAGCAGTGAAGTGAAGAAAATCTTGAAGTACCTTTAAGAAGAGGATAGCGTATCAGGACCCCCTTTTTAATAATTTTAAACACCAGGCTTTTTATTATTGCTTTCTGACTTGGGATTTTAGCTTCCCAATACCCCAGCCCAACATTTCTAGCCCTTCCTCAGTCTCTCCCTCTGGAGCGTCTCTTTCACTCTCTACAATCCCTGCTCTCCCCTTTTGCAAATAATCAAAACCCAAAAACCAGTCTTGGACAAAACCCAAAATAGAAAACTATGTGATCACACAGTTTGAAATCGAAGAGGAGCGTGTGTAACAAGAAGTCCACTTGGCCCAAGACAAAAAAAGAAAAAACGACCCCTATTTAGTTGATTCTCTGTTTGCTTCTGGATCGTCTAGGGTCTCTTCCTCTGCTAGACTGTGTAGTGTAGAGAGAGAGAGAGAGAGAGTCTTTGGCATTGATGCTCTCTCTCAGTCTCTATCTCTCCCTCTACAGAATTATAATAATAATCTTGCTAGTATCACTGTAAGTCTGCAGCTATATACGTATCATGGGGAAGAGTGTCTGCGCGCGAAAAATGATGGGATGTGAAAATCAGATTTTCAGTCAGATGATGCCAAAAAACAATAAAAGTATAATATAGATTGTGTGTTTGGAGTTTGGCTTTTACCCTCTCGTCCCTGCGGATTTATTAGTACTTATTTTACGATGGAGGATTTTAAATGAGACGTTGCTTGAAAGGAACCTCTTGCTAATGGCAAGCAGTTTCAGCCGCTTAGCCTCTGCGTGTGTGGCAGTGGCTGGCTCTCACGGCACAGCTAGCTCATCAGACAGACTGATCATCATCTGCATTGTTTTGTAATGTAAAATTAAAATATATTTGTCATGGATTTGCATTCCGCATTTTTACATGCATTAACATTACATTTATTGTGTGCGCCAAAGCCGAAAAGAATATGACGCATTTCATACGGCAATCGTACATATGATAGCGTGTCACTTTCCCTCTGGTGGTTTTTGGTCTTTTCCTGTGTCTTTTCTCCGGAAACTCGTTCTGGTTCTGCTTGCCTTTGGTGTCTTTGGTGATGAAATGTGTGAGGCTCACGTGACTTTGTGGATCGTGATTCTTGGATGACACATTACTAAACCCATCGCCAAGCCTTTCCTTTCCCTCTCTAGCTTATTTCCTGTACGTTCGGATCCTTCCTGCAATCTCTGAACTTCTGAAGTTTGCTGGGTTTGTAATGTTGTATGACTAGCACAAGTTTCCTGGCTCTTCTTTTGTCACTCTTTTTTACTTGAGCCAGAAAAGGGAAAAAGGTAGCTTTAAGCCTGTAACTGATTCCCAAACTTGGACTTGGAAGTGTTTAACTTTTTAGACACAAGATATTTTACTCAATGGCTACAGAAAAATACTGATAGAATCTGATAAAACTCAATACAATCTTTGACTGCATATGCATCTCAACATGACGGGATCAAATATATCCATGATTTGAGAAATTCACGAGTTAAATATAACCAAGACCAAACCCCCCCAAGAAAAACCCTAGTTACAGACAACAAAAACAAGTGACACCTCCAATGGGCACATCCTGTTACTATAACTTGTAAGTATCAAATGCATCACAGCGAAACCCTTAGGAGAGCACCTCCAACTGAATATGGTGGAACCTGATCAACTTTCTTCTCTCTTCAACTAGAACCAACCCCGTGAGGGTACATGAACGTACCTCTGCCTAAAGCCAATAACTTCAAACAAAGTTCCCACCTATCATGTTTTCCCTCTTTTGTGTGTGACAAAGATTATATATCCTATAACAAAACTCAAACCATATAATAACGATTCATATTGGATAAGTAACTAACAGCAGTTAATTACATTGTACATTTTATAACGCAGTTAACTTTTCAAGCAGGAAGTGTTTCTTGTGTGTGGTTATCAAAGCGATGGTGAGTTAACACTTCCCTCGCCCGCGAACTCCTATGTTGAAGACGCTGGTGTAGCATCTCTGACATCTGGTTGAAGAACTCAGCATCCCACCTGTGAATTAACAAGGGGTCTTCTGCATAGCAGATATAAATAGATGTAACAGCACTTTCCACAACCACCATTGCCAGTCCCACCTGAAAATACATGATCCATGTTAAACATGCCCTATTGAATTGAAATGAAAAGCAATTTGTATGCTCTAAATCAACCAAAACTCTGTTTAGTGCTTAGGAATAGACAACCAAGAAGTAATCTAGTCAATATGTTACAAAATATGATGAAGGCATTAAGAAAATTACCAAGACCATTCCCATCAACATTGCAGTGGACCCCACCATAACCACCCTGTCCCTATATTTAATCCATGTCCAGATCCCTGAGCATGTACCAGTGATAAGTCCACCCAATAGAGTGCCCATCAACAAAACAGCACCTGAACAATCATAGGCTACGAGTGCCTCCACTCCCGTAGACTGAAATAACTCCCAGGCATCCCTCGCTGAATGATTAAAACTTTTTCCAGAAACAGCTATCTGTTAAGAAGGGTCACTGAAAAATAACTACTTCTACACAACTTCAAGAATACAGAGAGAACTAAGTGATAATCATTGAGGGTTTGAGATAGCACCACTACATAACAAGGGTGATAAAATTTAGGCAAAAAGTTGTGTGTTTAGGATCAAATAGAACTACAATCAAAAACCGACCACCATGAACTAGAAGTCTCACATTAAAACATGTTGCTGTTTTCTTTGCTAATATAAATATTACTGTTGTTAACAATTTTTCTGTTCCTTTTACAAAGATGCAAGGATTGGCAACTGTTGCTGATTATTTTTTCCCACTTGCAACCCTTGTAAAGGTTATGACGTATCCAAGCAGCCTTGCTCTAGGTGCAGTGCAGCAGATTTTTTTGGACAGAAACATGTTGCTTTAATCCATAAGCAATTAAATGCAAAGTAAAAATGACTGGTTGTTAACGGAACACTCCAAAACTACCTGGACATAGGCATACTTGTTAAAGAAACGGACAAGAGTCTCCACTAGATGAAAGAGGAAATCAACACAGCAAAGCAGACACTCATTGTTGCCAATCTTGGATCGGAGTCCCCTGATCTGAAATATATTTCAAAACTCTAAGAATTAAATTACTCACTCTCAAACTAAAGAGAGATATTAATGAACCATCCCTTAGAAAAGAAAACGCAGGCATGTGTACCTTCCACCGAAGTGTCCGAATGGCAGCTGTGAAAAGTGAACCATAGCAGATGCTACCAAAAGAAGTTGTGACTGCATACCGAAGAGACTTCATCAGTGAGTTCGGAGGCATTGATGATGCCTCTCTACCACCATGGATAAGTACAAGAAACACCATCCCAGAAACTATAACATGTACAGTATTACAGAGTACAGCACCCGTCCAAAATAAGCTTATAGAGAGAACCTAAGTACATGTGCGACAGCATTATTAGTGTCATTAGATGAGGCATGTTGTAAAGTTTTACTGCATTTCATATCCCAATAACAACAGATGAAAGAAGAGCAAAACTTGCCAGCTCACCACAAGAAGCCACCAGCGTCCACCATCTCCAATGCTTGAAGCTACAACACCAGCTGCCCCAAAGGACCATATTCCCATCCATAGAAGCATAATAAGCATGAATGCATATGCTACTCTCATAACTTCACGTAGACTCCATACCATCTTGACAGCTGCTTGTAGCACCAGCATGGTAAATGGAAGTCTATTGATTAACAATAGAGTCAGAAAGACTGCCATTGGATCTGATTATTCCAATTCTAATTTATCTGTAGATTTTGTTTGTCTTTGTGCGTAGAGTGAGTGAGGGACGTGTGTGTGTGTGTGTAGAGAGAGAAAGAGGGCGAGAGACAAGGACAGAAACAAAGACGCTCTATGATCGGAAACTACCAGGTTAGGTTTGGAGAGAGATGGGACTGGTTATGTAATAGGGCAAGCATAGACAGGGACAGAGAGAGAGAGGAGGATAGAATAGAGAACAATTAAAGTCAATCGTGGAGACAAAGTCAACAAAAATTCCTTCAAAACCCGACTACTTGGGACGACCCACAAGGCATATGATATAAGATTCCGAAAGGAACCCCAACCTCATGCCTTAATTTATAAAGATAGGCACGTCAACCCTGCAATCTAGCATAATTGTAGAAATACCACAATGTGTATAATTAAATACATACAAATACTTTGTAGTATGCAGATTCCCATTACTGAACAAAAACCTATATCATACATCCTCTTTCCCCTTTCTTCACTTAAGTTAAAAGAAATCATGTTCAAATTTTAAAAACAAAATTTCAGGCACAGTTCCATTGTAACAGTCTAACCAAACGAACAAGAGAAATCTCAGCCTCATACCTGTCAATTACTGAAATAACATACAAGAACTGCAACACAGCACCAATCGCAAATGCAACGCCCCAGAAAAACTGTTCCATCCAAAATAATAGAACACTAATCACAGCAAGATAAGTAGTCAAGATGTGAACCGCAACCTTCATCATGTGATTCGCTTGAGAACTGAGGAACAACAACCAAGTCCAACCAAGAACAGTCCCAACTCCACCGGCAAGAGCATAAAGCGGCCAATAGTTCTCCGTCAATCCCCTTTGATTTTCCAAAAAAGGCTGGGTGTACCTATCTATGTTTAGCCTATCTGTTTTCTTAAACCTATTGAGCCCGAGAACCGTAAGCGCACATACCATTAAAACCAATTGAATTAGAAATACTCCCAACCAGAAAATATCACGCCAACGACGCGACGGCTCAGAAGCCAGGGTTTGACTACTGTCTGCACTCCTCCGACTTGAGATCACATTCTATAATCAAAAGAGATCATACAATAGCAATCAAATTCAGAAGCTTCGAACATGAATTGGAGTGAAGCCATCAAACTCAACTAAACTAATAGAACTTAGGTATAATAAAAGGAGTGAAGCCATTAAGAACTTTTGAGACATAATATATTAATTGAAACTGAAATTAACTTAGGTAAATAAAAGGAGTGATCCAACTCCGGCCAATGATCAATAATTACATTTCAAAAAGATGATCAATTACAAGATTGAAATACTATTCACTGGGTCGTAAATTGTACTGAAAATAGCCGCACGCCGTAATGGATTCCATGTGATTCAAAACTGGACGAATAAAGTTCAAGTCTTGCATAGTGAATGAAATGAAAGTAAAGTACATAATACAAGGAGTGATGTAATTACCGGATCGGCGGTGGCGACGGAGGCCGAATTGACGGAGGAGGACGAGGAAGAATAGGAGCTCTGCGATATGTTCATGGTGAGAGGGACAGAACGACACGCATTGTTAGAAAGAATGAATTTGAGGGTTTTGTGGAAAGAGAGCGTAAGGTCAATGAAGGGTTTAATAGTTTTTAGGGGTTTGGTTTGGATCAACTTAAAAAGGAATAAATATTAAAGAATGGAAATTCGGGAAACGCTGAGAAATGGAGGGGGAAGAAACTGAAACTCAACGGCTAAGCGTGAAAAAGAATGAATATTATTTGGATTTGGTCTGAGTTTGACCAGTGCGGAGGAGAAGATGCCAATGTCCTGATTTGCCATTCTGTGATGTTTTTTGTGAGTGTGGGTCAGGGAGGAGACTGGTCCAGCTAATCTACTGTGGCATTAATCTAGAAGCTTTTGGACGTGTTTATTTTAATTTTATGAGAATTCGCTGGTATGCAATGCAACAAAGAAATTAGGCATACAGTAGACACATAGTGGGAATTGCAAGTTTGGTTGTGCCACTAGCCAAATAGCTTATGGAACCATAATCATAATGGACAAAAGCTCCGCTATATGTTTTCTAGATACGACATCGAGTACAAAGATAAATGTTTTTAATCAACTAAACTACTTTTTTTACCAATTGAGTTACTTAACTTGTACTCTTTTCGTCCATGTTATAACTTATACTCTTCTCGTCCATGTTTTCATTTTCTTATCTTATTTGATGACCAATTATCTTCCCATAAGCCGTAGAAAAGGACATATATATTAAGTTTTAAAACATAAAATTAAACAAATGTGTAGGAGGAGAGTCGGATTTCTGATTTCATATTTTTAAATTTTTTATGACAGTCAACTTGGAACGGTTCAAGTCAAAGATTACCTAAACAAGTTTTGACGGGCCATTGACTTCGGAATACCTTGTACCGGGCCTCTTTATGGCAAGGGTAAAGGCCCAAAACCATTTTCTGACGTATTATTATATGAAGTTCTGAACTGTAAAATTGGCAAACCCCCAAATTCCAAGAGTAGTTTACTCTCTAAACGACAAGACGTAACCGTTGTATCTGCAGCTTTTGCCCAAATTTAAAATTAAGCTGAAGCTTCACACTTTGATTTAATTAATCTACTGTATCAACGGCAGTCCTATCACTATGCCACTAACCTGTAATTATAAGTTAATAAAACAACACCGCAAATTTTTTATATCAAAAAAAGAAGAAAAAAAGAAGAAGAGGAAGATGTAGATTTGGTAACATGGAGTGGACATACAAGAACTGAACAGGGAGGCAGGTTCCTAAAAACTACAATTAAAAAGAAAAAGAAAATGGTCGAAAACATAACGCCTAATTTATCTGTCTAGCATTGGTCGGGGAAGAACCCAACCACCGAATTAGCGATGTCGAAACCGACACGTGTCCCTTGCTGTTGGACATTCCCAATGATTGACAGTGAGGAGGGCGTGGGCGCGAACGCAAAGCAAAAAGTCCCCTCCGAGTCAATCGGTATCAGGTAATTTTTAGCCGGTAACGGTAACACTTTCCCGTCCGCGAAGTGAAACGACACCGTTGGCACCTCAACGCTCTTCTTCGCCGACAAGTCGTAACACACGTCGAAGAGCGCCGCGCCTTGGGTGGACGTCAAGTCCTTGGTGCCTTTCACGAACGCATCACGGAGGGCGTTGTAAGTGTCCGTCTGCAACCGAGTCACCGCCGTGCCCGAGTCGATGATGATTCCGCCGTTTCCACTGTCGTCTATCAAAAAAGCCGACTCTGGAATCGGTAGCAACTCGCCGCCTACGCTCAGTCCGGTTAGGCCGATATAGTAAAACGTGTCGAGCTCAGGGTTACGGTGTAACGGAGCCGTCACGGCGTTGGGATGGAGCGGCGAGTTAAACTCAAGAGTTGAAGCCGAGTCAGAGTCACGGTCCACGAGGCAGTAGGAAAACGACGTGGCATTGAGCTGGGAAGGAAACGACAACGAGCCGCCTCCGAGTCCGAGTAGCCCAGACGCGCCGATGAACAAGCCCTCGTTGGTGTGGCCACAGCCGATGGCTATGTCCTTCGCCGAAACCCCGCCGATGGTGATGGTCTCCGTGACGAAGTCGCCGACGGTGTAGGAGCCGTCGCCGTAGGCCACCTCGTAGAGACACGTGTCGTTGCGGCACTCGAACACGTCGAGGGACTTACACCGTTGATTTTCGCACGAGACAGGCGAGAAGGAATCCGAGGAAGTCGGCTCGAAAATGGGGTCGGCTTGCTGATAGCAGTTGGCGCAGGGTGCGCACTGCACCCAGCTGACGTCACTGCCAGTGTCGAGCACCACGTAGGCCGGACTCGGCGGTTTGCCGATTCCGACTCGGGAAAAGTACTCGCCGCTTCCCTGACTCGTCCCCGAAATGACGGGACCCTCAAAACCCTTGGCTTCCTCAAGCTCCAACCCGTCGCCGGTATCCACGGGTTTAAGATCCGACGTGGCAATGCCTTGAAGAGCCAGATCTAACCGAGTTGTGAGAGATCTGACTCGGGCCGAGTCACGCTCGAGTCGAGCCAAAGTGAGCGACTTGTAGTCACTGTGGGAAGGCTTGTGAAGTGAAATTCGAGAATGTAGCGGCAGAGAAAGTGAAGAAGCAGCTGAGGAGCTCCGGTCTTGTTGGCTCAATGCCTGCGTGTGAGACTCCGACGACAGGGCGTTTAAGGTCGTCTGAATTGAAGCAGCGACGTCGAGCACTGTCGTTTTGGAGCTAAGCGGTGAGCTTCGAGAGTGAGATAGTTGGAAAGTAAAGCAAAAGAAAGCAAAGAGAAGGAAAATGTGGGAGAGGAAACCCATTTTGGGCGGTTGAGGTCTGGAAGAGAGTGTGAGGTGGTGAGGTGAAGTGTGAGATTTGAGGACTGTTGATTTATTTAAGAGCGGAGAAAAGTAAGCATAATTGCAGGAATCACGTAAAGGACATTGGAAGAAAACAAAGGCAAATTTATGGGGTGGAGAGGAGAGGAGGAGCTTTGGATGAGGAGATGAGAGGAGGAGCATACAGCAAATGGGTAAAGTCGAAAATATGGGGCCGCTGAAAGCATTTGCACGAAGGGGTTTTGTTTTGTTAACATTAAATTTGGAATTGTCATATGTTTCTTTTGGATTTTTATTTTCATTTTTGCAGAGTTTTGTTCGTGTTTCATTATCTTTCATTGCATGTATGTATGTTATTAGAATAGTATTTTGTACCATTTGGTTCGTGTGCTTGCTAATCTTTCTTCTTCTTTTCTGGGTCTTTCCTTATTTTGGGATTCGGTTGCTTGAAAGATAAAGAGAGCTTTTTAAAGTTAAAGATGTATTGAATTTCACTCAAAGGCTTATTAGATGGGTGTTTTTATTGGGATTATGGGGATAAGCGTGATTCTGGTAATATAATGCTTATTTTCTCAAGCACTCTTTGTTGACCAATTTAAGAACTAATTTGATATATAAATTAGGGGGTTTCACTAAAACACCCAAAATGGGGGCTGAAATTATAAAAAAACCCAACACCCAAAACACTTTATAAACACACCCAAAACCCATCATTACACACACTCAAAACCCATTTATAAACACACCCAAAAAATATACAATTGTTGATTTTGGGGTTGATTTTGGGTGTGTTTCTATGTTTAAATAGTGTTCGGGTTTTTTTATAAATACATGTCTAGGATTTGGTTTATTTATAAATTTGTATATAAATTATAGCCGCTCTCCTCTTCTTTAAGTGACAAAGACAAATTTCATAGAGAGGGGAGGAGGAAGAAGTATCTTTGTCCCTCCTTCCCTCCTCTCTCATCGCCTTTTTCTTTTGGGTTAATGAATAAGTTCACTGGAGTGTTTGGAATAAGAAATCATTTGTGGTGATTTCTTCTGGGCATGCTCATATTGAAGTTTCTCATCACCCATTTTAGGTATTCTCAAACAAATCATTCTCCCAAAACACGCTCTCTATTATTGCTCATGTTTTCTAAATTTGGATATACATCGTCTTCGATGGAGGTTGTTGCAAATCACCTAATTGTTCTTTGTTAAGGTAGTTGTTTTCGTTTATTTATTCGCTCTTATGCGCATATAAATCGCTGGAAACCATGTTTTCTCGATATCTGTTAATGATGCGGTGGTAGGTGTGGCTGCGACGACGATTCTTCATGTGGTGGTGGTAAGGTTTATTTAGAGTCATAGGTTGTTTTAGGGTTTCTGTTATGTTGAGTATGTGGACTTTATTTAGGTTTATGAATAATTTTAGTATAACTTTTATTCGCTTTAGTTTTGTTTCTGTCCTAGGATTGGTAATTTAACTTTCATGTTAATATATTTGATTATACTGTTAAAGATTATGTAATGAAGTTTATTTGTTATAATAAAAAAACATACATACTAATTTGATAGGTTCATTTCATAGTGCAGCTTGCTTGCCCAAGAGCAAATTGACAGGGACACACATAACAATACTTCTGCAAGTCAAAAGGAAGAGCTTGGACTCATGTACTTGCCATGATAAGAATTGAAGAAGCAGGAAGAGAGAGGGACCCATGATTTAATTATGTAACAACCTAAGTATCATATTCTCATGCATTTCGTGACCCTAATTTATTTATTTATTTATTTATTTTTGATAAAGGACCCTAGTATTTTTATTGCTGGCTGGTTGTTGATATTCGTTTGGTCAAACTAAACATGGGTCCGGGCCTGGGTAGGGCCCAACTCCAACGATTTAGATTCGCCTTTTGGAAAGCAGGCCATGATATTGTCAGCCTAAACGTGCACCAAATGATCGATAAAACCTTAGCCAGCTATGCAGCTGGAGCAAAAGAAAAAACAAAGTACACATGCGGCATGGAACGTCTTCCTCAAGCAGGCAATGCATGATCATGATGGAGATAATTCTTATAAGAACAGTGGCGGGGAGGGCAGTGCATGATCCGACTTCGCCCTACTGCTTTGTCATTCCCTAATTAAATGAAACAAATACTAAAAAGCCTCATAGACTTCCCAATACTATTTTCTTTTATCACTCTTTCTTCACAACACTATTTTTTTTAAGGGGGTTTCACTAAAACACCCAAAATATGGGCTAAAATTATAAAAAAACTCAACACCCAAAACACTTTATAAACACACCCAAAACTCATCATTACACACTCAAAACCCATTTATAAACATACCTAAAAAATATACAATTGTTGATTTTTGGTGTATTTCTATGTTTAAATAGTGTTTGGGTTTTTTTTATAAATACATGTCTAGGATTGGGTTTATTTATAAATTTGTATTTCTTTAAACTATCTTGACCTAGCCACTAGTCAACCATCCCTTTTTTTTTTCTTTTTTTCTTTTCCAAACTCTTCCTCTACTTGTGTGCGTAACTATGAATTTCCCTTTGAAATTTCCATGAGTTGGAAAC